AGTAGGCCTATTTCTGCTTCATTGATTATGTATTTTTTGCTCAAACTTCATTGATTTCAATGTTACATTATTTGATTGTAAAATCTTTTTCAAATAAAATAGGCAATTTTTTTTTTTCTCTCTCTCTCTCAGTCAACCTTTCATTCCAATTCTTGTCTTATTGTATTCTTTCTTTCTAAAATTTTATCTATAATTGGTTCATTATTACTTTTTTTTGTTATAAAAAATCTTTTGTCATAATGAAAATTAAAAGATGCAAAATTATTTTTGTCTAAAATCATTTTATATGAAAAATATTTACAAAATAAAATGTCCAACACGAAGTTCTTTTAAGTTATATATATATATTTTACCTGGGCTCCTTCTGTTGGGTCCATTTCCAATCTTTAGGATTTTCACCCCAACATATATGAAATTCTCTTGGAAATAGAGCGAAACAATTCTTGTTTGACTTCTTGTCCACAAAACACTTCTGCAATAAAATTAGTGACAGCATGCATGAATAACAATACTTCATGTTAATAAAATAAAATACCATAATTTTATTTTTAATAAATGACAGCTCCTTTTGCTGGAGTTTTTTTTTTTAATATTCTAAAAAAAAATAATTTAGAGAATTGACCAACTGTTTAAATTATTTGGAAAACTTACTTTTTGAAATCTCATTTTGAAAATTAAAAATTACATTTTCAACTTAAAATCGCATGTTGAAAATGCAATCTTAGTGAATTCTATATTATTATAAAATTACATTTTTAACATGCGATTTCAAATTGAAATTACATATTGAAAATGTGATTTCAAAAAACAGGTTAGTTTTCTAAATAATTTGAAAAGTAGATCAATTCTCTAATTTTTTTTTCCGAATATTTTATATATATATATATATATATAAACTCCCATTTGCTGCCCTTAGGAGTTAGAAGATGGGTACTGTCATTTTTTAATTTTGATGATATATAGAAAATGATTCATTCCCTTAATTTTGCCCTCCTAATTTCATTCATAATGATATGGAATTAGGAGAGGTAAAGATGTAGGACCGCTTCACATAGATCTTAACCATGTTATTAGGAGTAATTTGGGGTTTCAATTAGGAGAATGTAACATCTCTCTATATTACAACTTTATAATTTAAAATAAAGATTTTCATTTGATCTATAAAATAAAATAGGGAGAATCAAAATCTCATATCAAACATATGACATCAGATTGTATATCGTGTAATATTCTATGAAGGTGCATCATATATTTTGAAATTTATAATTAAAAGAATGTACAACATAGAAACTGATCATGTAACTGCATATATAACTTTTTTCACATAGACATACGTTATGTAAGAGAATTGTATTTAATTTTAGGATTAATTTTTATTTATTTAACAGAATAGTGGTACTGTAGGGGTTGACCATCACCTTGAAATATAGTTGGTGTTTGGGAAGTGGGTTTTTTTTGTAGGTTTTTTAGTTATATGATATTATTAGAGAAATTTTTTTTTGTATTTGGGAACATAGTTAGGTTTTTTTGTGATTGGATGTGATTTTGTGAGAGAAAAAATGAAATGATTATGGGATTTGATGTGATATTTTGTTTGGATTTATTTTTTTTAGTTTTGTAATTAATTTGTCTTTTAGTGAAAAAAATCAAAAAACCTCCTTCCCAAACAGCGCCTAGGGGTGTTTGGGAATAGGGGTGTTTGGGAAGAGAGTTGGGCTAAAATAACTCATTAAAAGACAAAATAGACCAAATTAGTTAATAAGACAAAGTATTACATTTAACTCAAAATTATTTTATTTTTTCTCTTATAACTATCAAATCAACTACAAAAATAATAATAATAACTAACTTTTCAAATGCAACTATTTTAGCTAGACTAAAATAGTCAAAAAGTCAAATAACCAACTAAAATAGTTAATTTTCCAAACAAGGCCATAAAGAGATGGGTAAATTACAAACATACCCCCTGAGGTTTACTTAAATTATAAATTACCCCTTGTGATTTTAAAAATTACATTATGCCTCTTGAGGTTTCTAATTTTATAACAAATAAGTCCTTTTATTAATAAATCATCAAATTAATTAACAGTTTTTAATAATGTTAAGATTTTATTTCAATTAATAATTCAGATAATTTTATTGTTATATAAGTGAATGGTTAAAAATTTCACTTTTTTAATTAATTCTGTTAAATAAAAAATTCTGACATGGAGGTATTTATAATTTTTCAAATCACAGGAAGCAATTCATATTTTAAGTAAACCTCAAGGATGTATTTGTAATTTATCCTAAAGAGATTAGCTTCTGTCATATGGCCTTGTTTGACCCATTGGACGATCACGAGTTTTATTATGATGATTTGAGTTATTTATGTTATAAGTCTTTTTTTTTTTTTCTCTCTTTTTTTGTTCCAATAGATAAGAGAATAATTACATTATGAAAATTATTTACATGATCAAACAAATTACTTGAACATAATAGTTAGAAAGTTAACAAAGTCCAATAGCCAATTCACCAAACACATCAAGCAAAGCCCAACATCACTAATAATCACATAAATCCCCAACCGTCATAATGGGGACAAATAAACCAAACACTGCAAAGGGTATCAAATTCCTCTATATGGAATTAACCTTAAGATTTCACACTCTAAAAGGTGTTACACAAGTACTAAGCAAATGTCCTGATTCTTATAGGTCATGTTTATAAATTATTCATAAAAAAAAAATTAGATTAACTTCTATAATCCTAGTAATGTGAATTCATCATATTTGAATAAATATATATATATATATATATATATATATTATTCATTTTTTATGATAAATATAATGAAATTATGTGACGTGTATAATCCAATCAATCTCATTTTTTCATATAAAGAATTAAAATATATACAACTCAAACAATTGAAGTATGATCTATACTGAGCCCAAGAAGCCATATTGGGCCTCGTATGTATCATGATTTTTTTACAGTGACGTTAGTGAATTTTTACTACAGTAAAGACATGAACATATTCCCACCATCTAAAGCTACCATTAAAGCAAACTGTAATGATTCAAAGTATTAATTTTGATGTTTTAATAGAGTATTAATAATATGACAAGAAGAAGAAGAAAACAAAACAAAATAAATCAAGATCAAAATATCACATCACAGTAGGTACTGACAGCTCATTAAAGCTGATTTTAGAGCTCAAAAATTAAAACTCTAAAGCATTTTTCTAAAACAAAATAGCAACAAAGTTTTTTTTTTTTTTTTGGCGATTGCAGTTTGGAATTTATACTATTTTGATTCTTAATTTTGTAATTGTGATACATTTTTTAATTATAAATTTTGAATATCATTTTAGATAAGGACAATTAAAAATATTGTTTACTTTGCAAACGGAAAATGTTCCATTTTAAGGGCAAAATCATCAATTGGATAAAATATAAAATAGTTTGATAAAAATAAATGTCAAAAAATTATTTTTAAAATTTTTAAAATTATTTCTATCCTCCAAAAAGACAAAATTATATAAAAATAATAAATCACAACGCTCAAATAGTACACATTAATGTGTGTTTGGGAAGGAAAAAAATTGAGTACACACCTAACTTTTGGTATAATATACAAAGTGGTTGCCCTGAGATTTGAACTTATAACCTCAAGATTATTAGACCAATGTTTTACTATTGAACCAATGGTCACCTTTATATAAAAATGATAAATCTTTTACATTTTATATTTTTATTTTTTCATCAAATTTTTTTTTAGTATGTGTTTGAATGATGATCATATAATGGGCGATTGTTTTGTTGATATTTTTTTTATGGTTATCATGTAATGGATGGTTGTTTTTGTTATTAACATATATTTTTGGATGGTTATCACGTAATGGATGGTTATTAAGTTTTTGATGTATAATCGATATACATGAAATGTTTTTAGTCTTGAATTTTTTAATTTAATGGATTGGTTTCATAAGATATCAAAGTTGTTACCGTGTTTGACATTTGAAAAATAAAAATTAATTTAATGAAAATAAATATAAAAAAAAATTATTTCTATCCTCCCAAAAGATAATATTATATAAAGATGATGGGTTTTTAATTTTTTTTCACAAATTTACGTTTTAATTTCTTAGAAAAAATTCTGAAAACAAAACAAAGCAAAATAGAACTTTATAACCAATAAAGTGCTAACATTATTCATTAAAAAAGATATCATTACATTTCAAATAATATATAAGTTAACCAACACAAAATAAGTTATATGATGACTTTGCTCTTGAAATTAATCATTTGAAAAAGAAATATTTTTTATTGTCATTATTTGAAACAATATTTAAAATTTAAGGTCAAATATATCACAATTGAAAAATTAGAGATTAAAAATTGTAGAGAAAATCATAATAATAAAAGATCATGATTGCTCGGATTCCATACCCATACCAGAAAAAAGCTAATCTCAAATAAGAAATATGCATGTTGTGTTTGAATTATTGATTTAGGTAGGAATTTGAAAAAAGAAAAGAAATAAACCGTGAGAGAACTAGTTATAAGTTAAAATTTTACTCTTCTCTTACATTTTTATTTACTCCATTTAAATTCTTATCCAAACATACGATTCAAACGCAGCATATGAAGTGGGGGAAAATCAGTGAAGAACTTGCCAGTGTTGGGCTTTAAGTAAACGCCAGCGTAGAGCAGATCGCAGAGCTTGTGAGGGCAAGACATGTCAATTTCTATATTTGCATCTTTCAAAATTGATAAGAAACTAAGGGCTTGTTTGAAATGTCATAAATAAGTGTATTTTTTGTCTTTTTAGGCTAAAAAATTGAGAGAAAAAATATAAATGTTTGGATTAACTTTTTGACTTTTGTGAAAAAATGTGTATTAAAAAATTGTATAAATTAGTGGATAGGGGAAAATTAGGATTGAGAGTTGTGCAACCGTATTTTTTGACTTTTAATGAATGGTGATAATTTTTTAACTTTTTGAATAATTTTTTGATTTTTTTTTTAATTTGCCAAACTTGACCTAAGTGGAGGCCATGTTCTTCCTCCTTTTCTTGCTGCAATTTCCCTTTCCTTCGCTGATGAGTCTGTCTTATCACTACTGCTTTGTTCAACTTGTTTGATCTCTGAACTCCCATCAGATTCCATCCTAGCCACCATCAAAAAATTGAGAAAACTATAGTAAAACAAAAACCAAAAACAACAACAACAACAAAAGCTCAATCAAATCATACAAATGTTATTAATAGGAACAACAACATACAGTCTCATCTGGTTCATGATGTTTACGATGGCAAGGTGGATTTGCATCAAACGCACTCACAGTAGGCTCCATAACTATGTATTTGCCGCATCAATACATAGCTCAAGCGGCTAGAAAAATGGGTCAAGTTTGGCGTGCTGTCTAGCATTTTCTCAAATATTGTGCAACTAAAGTAAGTGGTCTAGCAGTTGATGGGTGCTGCTAATCCCCTCTGTCATTGATTTTTTTTATTGTTATTAAAATAGTGATACTGGATCATTAATATTATCATTTAATTCTTTTTTATTATGTATAACTTTATTCTTTGATGGGATTGTTCAGGAGGCGCAACTCATGGCTTAGAGAAGTCCAACCCACGGTTGTATTAAGCTCCCCAAACAATCACGTGGATAACGCCCAACAACAGGCCCAATGAGGAGTCGGAGCAGCTAGTCCTGGTCTAGGCCTAGTAGCGTTTGGGCACGTGTCAGGGAGGGGGTTAGTCACATGATGGACAAAGATTTTACAGAATTATTGACACCATACATCAGGCATTAGCCAGCACTTGATCTCTAACAAAGTGACAATCGACTTCAATATGTTTAGATTTGGAAGGGAACACTGGATTAGAAGCCAGAGCAATGGCAGAAACATTGTCACAGTAAAGTAGAGGAACTGTAGGAGGGACAATACAAAAATCCTGAAGTAACATACCAATCCAAGCAAGCTCTGCAGCTGTATGAGCTAAAGATCTATACTTTGCTTCAGTAGATGATCTAGATACAGTGGCTTGCTTTTTAGAGGACCAAGAGATGAGGTTGGAACCTAAAAATACACAATAGGATGTTGTAGATTTTCTGTCAATTGCATCGCCAGCCCAATTGGAATCTGAGTAGGCATGAAGATCAAAGGAGCTGGGTGTGTAAGTAAGACCAGGAGAGATGGTGCCTTTAATGAACCGAAGTAATCTTTTAACACCAACATAGTGACCAACAGTGGAATTATGCATATGTTGACACAATTGATTCACTGCAAATGAGAGATCAGGTCTGGTAATGGTTAAATATTGTAATGCTCCAACTATGCTTCTATAGACAGATGGATTGTCAAAGGGAAGATTTGAATTTGGTGGTAAACCAGGCTTGGCAGAGATAGGAGAGGAGCAAGCCTTGCAATCCAACATGCCAGCTTTAGTAAGTATGTCCTGAGCATACTTCTTTTGAGATAGAACAGTGGTGGAACTAGAAGTAGCAACTGAGATGCCAAGAAAATAGGAAATAGAACGAAGCTCTTTCATAGAAAAGGCTTGATGCATTTGAGTAACAAGATCTTGAATATGATGAGCAGCATTACCAGTGACCAATATATCATCAACATAGACTAATAAGGCAAGAAAGATAGAACCAGTCTTTTTAATAAAGCCAGAGGAGTCACATTTGCTGTTCTTGAACCCTTGAGAAAGGAGGAAACAAGAGAAGGTGGAGTACCATGCTCTGGGTGCTTGTTTAAGGCCATACAAAGCGTTATGGAGCTTGTAAATAGACTGGGCATTAGTAGACAGTTCAAACCCTGGTGGTTGGATCATGTAGACCTCCACCTCTAAGACCCCATGAAGGAAAACATTAGAGATGTCTAATTGCTTAATAGGCCAATGGTGATGAAGAGCAAGACATAAAAGAATTCGAATGGTTGGTAATTTAGCAACTGGGCTAAATGTTTCCTGAAAATTAATTCCTCTTGTTGGAGATAGCCCTTTGCTACCAATTTGGCTTTATGCCTAGCAATTGTCCAATCAGAATTGCGTTTGATTTTGAACACCCACTTACAACCTATGGCAGTCTTGCCAGGAGGAAGTGAAACCAGAGACCAAGTCTTTTGGTTTTGTAAAGCTTGAAACTTTTCTATCATAGCTTGTTTCCAAAGAAGTGTAAGCAATGCTTCCATATGAGTGGGAAGCTCAATATTAGGAGATGTCTTAACAGTGGGCAAGGCTGTTTTAGATCTAGTAACCATAGGATGGCAGTTAGTGACAGGAGGAACAAAGGGGATAGAACTAAAGGGAGCAGGAATAGGTAATTGAATAGAGATAGAGTGAATAGGAATAAAAGGCTGAAATGGAGAAGTAATAGAAGGAAAATAAGGCTGAGATGAAGAAGGACTAACAGAGATAGCAGGTGTACTGCTGAGATGAGAAGAAGAAGATGGAGGAGAAGAGAAAGGAGGAGTTGAAGAAGAAGACGGAGCATGAGATGGAGAAGCCCAGAAGAAAGATTGAAGACAAGGCAACTGAGATGAGGAAGAAGAAGAAGACAAGTGAGCAAAAGGAAATATTTGCTCATTGAACACCACATGCCTAGAAAGATAAATGGTCCCAGTTTTGGGCACCTATAACCCTTAGCAAATGAATGATAGCCTAAAAACACACATTCAATAGATTTAGGCTGCAATTTTGTAGAGATGTAAGGTTTAAGCCAAGGGAAACACTAACAACCAAACATTATAAGAATAGAAAAATCTGGGATGTTGTGAAAGAGAATTTCAAAAGGAGTCTTGTAGGCCACTTTGGAAGAAGGCAATCGATTAATAAGATAAGTGGCACAAGCAATGGCATCAAACCAGTAATGGAGAGGAACACATGAGTGATGAAGTAAAGCAATGGCCATCTCAGTCAGGTGTCTTTGCTTTCTTTTACCAATACCATTCTGAGATGGTGTATAGGGACATGAGTGTTGATGAACAATACCTTGAGCCACAGTGAGCTGCTTCATTTTATTATTAAAAAACTCTATGCCACCATCAGCTCTAAGAATCTGTAGAGAGGTAGAAAATTGTTTTTCTGCATAAGATTTAAACTCAAGAAACTTATCATACACTTCACTCTTGTAAGCTAAAGGATACAATCAAGTGAATCTACTAAAATCATCCACAAAGAGAACATAATATTTGTAACCAGAAGTGGAAGAAAAGGGACCCCAAACATCACTATGGATTAAAGCAAGAGGTTTATTGACAGTGGAATTAGACAATGAAAAAGGTAATCGATGATTCTTTGCAACACAACAATCAACATAGTCTTGAAGATGGATTGAAGCAGAATTTTTAAGATGTAAATAAGGCCTAAGATGCTTGAATTTCAAGCTACTAGGATGACCTAATCTATGATGCCAGAAAGTACTAGCAATAGTAGAGGAACTAGAATGCACTTGTGAAGCAAAATTGGCGTGTGATGCTACAGTAATAGGAGTAGAAGCAGGTGAAGCCGTAGTGGAAAAGAAATGGTACAAGTCATGAAGATTAGAGCCTTTGTGAAGAATTCTCTTCATAAACTTGTCCTGAATCACAAAATGAGTATCATCAAAGCTGATAATGCAATTGTTATCCTGAGCCAATTTTCGAACATAGATAAGATTGGATGATAAAGAATCTGTATGAAGCACATTGTTAAGCTTTAAAAGATGATAAGGTGTGGGAAGAAGACCTTTACTACTGTGTTGAATAGGAATAGAATTACCATCTCCTATAGTAATCTGCTTGGAGCCTTGATAGGGCTGATAACAATTGAGATGGCTAAGATCATTTGTCATGTGGTCTGTAGCTACATAATCCAAGTACCAAGGACATGAAGTAGAAGATGATGATGGAGAACTTGAAGCATGTGAGGCAGTGACAAAAGCTCTTGGTTGTTATGATGAACTGAAATTGTGTGTTGGCAGAGACTGAGACGGAAATTGTGATTGTGACTGGGACAAAGACTGAAATCGTGGATCCATACGATGCCAACAGTCTACAGCTAAATGACTAGAGCCACCACAAATCTGACAAAACTGATTAGAAACTCTTCATTGACCTCGAGATGAAGGAAATCTTCCACCAGAACCTCTGTAAGATCCTCCATATCCTCTGTATTCTTATGCTCTGTAGGATCCTTGATTACGGCCACCACGTCCTTCTCTAGAATAAAATCGACCACGAGATTGATTAAAAGACTTAGTTCTGGCATTATCAAATCCTTTAACTGTAGAAAAAGCTACAGTTGGTTCTGTAGATATTTTATTCTTAGAGTCTAAATGAAGAGCATCAGAACATAGTAAGGAAGAGAGATTATCCATAGTAATCACTTCTGGTCGAGCACGAATTGTAGGTGAAAAAGCATCATACTCAGAAGGAAGACCATTCAGAGTAATGAGGACTAGATCTTCATCATCAATGATGACAGAAGCCAAAGCTAACTGACTAACTATGGCCTTGATTTTGGACAAATATTTTTCCATTGTATCAGATTTCTTAGTAACACTATTCAATTTATTTTTCAGTTGATGTACATGTGAACGAGATAGAGTGGTAAATCGTTTGTGCAGAGATGTGCATACCTCATAATAGTGATGAAATTGAAGAACAGATGCATAGATCAATGGTGTAAGAGTTGAAGTGATGCAACTGAGCAGATGTGCATCAATCATGGTCCATTGAAGAAATTCTGGATTAGGAATCGAACTACCTGTTGAATCAATGATCGTAAAGGAAGGACATGTGACTGAGCCATCAACATAACCAAGAAGATTGGTTGCTTGGAGAATATTGGAGAGCTGAGACTGCCAAATGATGAAATTTGTGCCATCAAGCTTGACAGTTATAAAGGATGACAAATTAGAGATTAGTAAAGTGAGATTCGAAGGAAAAGAAGAAGAAAGGGAAGACGCCATGGATCAGTTGCTCGTTAGAGCAGATAGCTCTGATACCATAAAGAAGTTTTGAACTTCATCCTCTTTCATTCCTGTTATCAAATGTTCTACAACTCATATTATATACACTAAATCTAACTAACAAGCTAACAAACACTACAACTAACTCGTAACTAGTTCTACAAATATCTATCTAAAATATCTAACTAAAATATCTGAACTGATGACTTAGTAAAGCTAAGCTTGAAGCTGTGGTTGGAGCTGCAAGTGAAGCTGGTTCTTGGAGCTACAGTTGAAACTGCTTTTGCAGCCTAAGCTAGTTGAGATAGCTGAGCTACCAGCTGAGCTATCTGGGATAGGATCCTTAACAAATCTTATCTACACACAATTGAATATCCAATCTTCAAGTTCTACATTATTTCGTTACCTTTTCGCTTAATCATATTTGAATATCAACATATATCTATTTTTCTTATATTAAATTTATTGAATTTTTTTTTTTATGTTATGTACTTTTACATTATATTTAGGGACGAAACTATGTAGGAGCCGAGAGGGCCCCCGACCCCTCTGATTTTTTTATAATATAATATTAATTTTATATTGACGAACATTTGTAAAATATATAATGGGATGGTTTCTTAAATTTATAAAAATTACTTTACTAAGTTTCTATTTCATTAATATTTCAGTATATAATGAAAATGATCTCTAATTATTTCACATTTTAAATAATAGTATCAATTTTATCGAGTCAATTTTATTAATCCAAGAGGTGCATGTCACTTATTTTTTAAATTTAAAAAGTAAAATGGTATGTATATTTTTTTATGAGTAATGTTAAAGAATCTAAAACTTCACTTATAAATTTTTCCACAATAACATTGTAGGGGTTGGATTTTAATTGATTGATTTCTAAACATATTAATTGACATGTAACATTCAACGTTATTGAGTGTAAATTTAAGGATTATGTTTTAGAGGCTTTAAGCAATTTTCACTTTTTATTTACTAGATTATATCAATCAATAAAATAGCTTGAAACAATGGTTTAATCGATTGGATATTGAGATCTAATAGTTCAAAACTTTTAACAACTAAAAAAACTTTTTGTTATATTTATTTAGTTTTCTCGTGAAATACTTCTTTTGCACGTTTATATAAGGAATTATGTTCAATTAATAATGTACCAAAACTAACTCTGTGTTTTTTATGTATATATGTTGGCTTCTCCTGGACAAAATTCCTGGTTACACTCCTAATTATGTTGACATTTTGTATTTTGAATTTATGTTTATGGGTCTATTATTTTTAATATTAAATATGCGTCACTTTTTTTTTTTTTTTAAAAAAAACAAATTAGAAGTTATCCGTAAGTATAATTAGTAACAACGAAGATTAAATAAATTCAACAATAGGAAAAATTTTCAGATCGACTTAAAACTAATATAAAAAGAAGTATATAAGTATTGGATCATATTTTAAAACTAAGCAAAAAAACTAAAAATTATTTTGAACCTTACTAAATGTGATTCTAAATTAAAAACATGCATATTGGTATGTTTTTCTAATGTTGTGCAAAGATTTAAAAAAATTTATGAATCCGATTGCCGCCACCATTACATACTCCGCAACCGTATCAACGCTACCGTTACCGTTACAATAACCACCACTGTTATTTAAAGGGAGAATATAAAAAACGTGGAGGGTAGAAAAATTAATTTTAAAATGATAATAGTATATATCTTTATTGCATAAATTTATGGATGAACTACTTGTACTTCCATTATTTCGAAATCATTTGGTCTACACTTGTAACGACCCCAAAATGCATAGCATGATTATAATTAATTAATTAGTTGTTAAATTTTAATTTTAATATGTATTATGTGATTTTTGAATGCCTATTTGTCGAATGTGGACATATCTGTTACAATTTCCGCTAAAATTAGAAATTGAGGGCTGTAAAGGTGACAAAAATTGAAATTGTTTAATTTATTGTGATCAACATAATTTTTAGAATCTATGGTAAAATTTAATTAAAAATTGATTCAGACTGAATTAATTAAATTAAATTAATTAAACTTAAGTGAGATTGATTAACCTTAAGCATGTTTAATTAGTCTAAGATAACTACCTAGTATATTGTGGGAGCCAAAAAAAATATATATCAACTTATTGGGCTAACCCAAATAAGGCCTACCAAGGGGGCCAACTATTGGGCTTATTCAGCCCACTCCCCATCTATAAAAGAAAGGCATCTTATGGAATGTAAAGGGATCTCTCTCTGCTCCACACAACACACGAACACTCTTTATTTTTATATATTCATTCTTTCAATCAAATGATAAACTTTACCATCGGAGTGTCTCCGGCCGGCAACCTCGGTTAGGTTGCGTCGATCATGCTCATCTTTGCAGATATATAGGGACAAAGTGTCATGACCCGAACCCGCCCCCATGGGTTAAGGACATAACCGGCCAGTAATCACGAGATTACCTACGGCCTTAAACCAAATAAGATATATTTTAACAGAGTTAAGGGGGCCAAACGGAAGCAAACTTACAAATTGTCCATAGAGTTGTGCTTACATGGCACGTCATAACATTTTACAAACATACATTAATAACTCACGTCAAAAGGGAAGTTAACATATAAACTGTACATACAGGATCATTCAAGTCTAAGTCAGCCAATCAAAACTATATACAACCGTAATCTAAAGTTCTCACCAACATGACAAAATATAACAAAATAGCAAAAGGGCGAAAACAAGTCTCGTGCGTGAGACGTATGGGCTAACTCTTCAAAACCTTGACTATTTCACACAGACTTCACTGAGGCTGGGTTTGGACCTCCCTTGACTCACCTACAAACACATGAATGTGCGTGAGCGAAAGCCCAGTGAATAATATCAAATAAAGAAGATACACGAATGGTATTTAGAACAACATACATCAGACGACCTTGGGCCCAATTCATATTTCTATCTAGTATATATATATACATATAAGTCAAGTGACTGCGGTTCCAAACACATCAAACAGCCTTGGGCCCAATTCATTCATGACATACGGCCTTTGGCCCATTCATTTATGTCATACGGCCTCTAGCCCATTCGTTCATGTCATACGGCCTCTGGCCCATTCGTTCATGTCATACGGCCTCTGGCCCATTCGTTCATGTCATACGGCCTCTGGCTCATTCGTTCATGTCATACGGCCTCTGGCCCATTCGTTCATGTCATACGGCCTCTGGTCCATTCATTCATGTCATACAGCCTCTGGCCCATTCATTCATGTCATACCAAACATTTGTCCACAATTCATGATGTGCATATAAGCACGGCTCTGTGGACAAAGTTTTAAATTACTTCCGGTGAATTTGTGAATATTAGTTGTGATTTTGTAAATTTAAATTGGAATAATGGTCAAGAACATGAATTTGATTGAGCCTGATGTAATTGAATTGGTTTTGTTGAATTGAGAGCCAATATGTGCATGCATGCAAGAAATTGTTTTGAATTTGCATGTTTGAGCTTGAAATACATGATTCAGGTAGAGTTTTGGTTAAAGCTCATGTTATGATCACCATTTGTATCATCTAAGTTGAGAATAAGAGTAATACATCACATGCATGTACAATTTATGAGGATAGGAGCTTTGAATACATGAATGTGTTATGATGAAAATGAGTTTGGTGTAATTTGAGCCATGCATGTGATTATTTTGTGAAATTGAGCTCCATTATGCTGTAATTTAGTGTTTGTACCATGTTAGTACATGAATATGTGAAGTTTGAGCTGAGATTATGAGTTTGGAACCTTTGGAGGTCCTTTTGAGCTCAAGAACACATTCTGGAAAATCCAAAAATTTGATGTCCGCTCAAGCGGGGAAACCGCCGCTCGAGCGTGAATTTCGTGCTCCCAGTATTTTCTGCAGACCATAATATCCGCTCGAGCGGGGAGCTATGTAGGATGGACTTCCGCTCGAGCATCCAAGTTCCACGCTCAAGCATAAAAATGACATAACCAATGCTTTTGCAGACCTCATGGGTCCACTCGAGCGGGTAAGTTCACGCTCGAGCGGGGACCCTGTTTCTAAAAATTTTGTGTGATTGTTCTGTGTTTCGTTTTCCGTTCCATTTCACTTCTAAGCACTCTTAGGCATACATTGGGCATTGTAATTGAATTAAAGAGATAAGAATGAAGCCTTTGAAAATGCATTATGTGTTCCGTTTTCCGTTCCCTTTCACTTCTAAGTACTCTTAGGCATACATTGAGTATTGTAAATGAGTTAGACGAATAAGAATTAAGCCTAAAGAGGAATATGTGAATTAAGAATGGATTGAATCGGTTGTGACCCATATGTGTTATGTGACGTGTAGGGTTAAGTTCCAGGGCAAACCAATTAGCCGATCACTGTAAGTAATATTTTAATAAAGATATCTGAAGTATGTTATTTGTCCAATTGCTTACTTTCATATAAGTCTTGTAAGTTGCTATACTAAATTGGGGACAAATATCTATTATGCTATGTATTGGGCCAAAGGCCGTCTGATACGAATAATGATCTGATATAAATGATCCGACACGAATGATAGTCTGATGATCTAACACGAATGATAATCTGACACGAATAACATTTTGACCTAAATGAATGGGCCAAAGGCTGTTTTGACATAAATGAGTGGGCCAAAGGCCGTTTTGACATAAATGAGTGGGCCAAAGGCCGTTTTGACATGAATGGAAAGGCCTAAAGGCTAGTCGATATGAAAGTTTGAAAGGCCTAAAAGGCAGTTGATATGAAAGTTTGAAAGGCCTAAAGGCCAGTTGATATGAAAGTTTGAAAGGCCTAAAGGCTAGTCTGATATGAAAGTTTAAAAGGCCTAAAGGCCAGTTTGACATGAATGAATGGGCCAGAGGCCAGTTTGACGTGCATGAATGGGCCAGAGGCCAGTTCGACATGCGTGAATGGGCCCAAGACCAGTTTGACAAATGGAAGATGAATGGGCCAAAGGCCAGTTTGACAAATGGAAGATAAATGGGCCAAAGGCCAGTATGTTTGGAACTGCAGTCACTTGACTTAAATTGTGTATATACATGTTATATAGAAATATGAATTGGGCCCAAGGCCATTTGGAGCATGTTGTTC